GAACTCTTCCACTCGTCAGCTTGCGGACTCGCCACCGCTTCCTCATATTTGCGCGGCTCCTGCACCACGCTGTGGCCTCCACTGTCCGCACTGCCATCGGGCATGTTAAGCTCCTGTGCAGCACTATTGTGTCCACCATTGGCACTGCCGTTGGGCACGTTAAACTCAGCGCGATCGGTGCTACCCGACGCTTTGTTAAGCAGCGGTGGACTACCCAAATCTCCACCGCCGCCGCTGCTGTTGTTGGCCAGGCTGACCGGGGCCAGTGGCGGGTGCAGTGGTTGCCGTTGACTGCAAGTGTTAGGGCGGAGGGGGGGTGCTGGGTTCACTGGGGGCGGGGCATCCACTTGAGTTGGCGGTGTGGCAGGCTGTGTTGAGCCGCCGCCAGGGTCGCTGCCACCAGGACGGGTGGGGCTGGTGCCGAAGGGGGTGCCCGCCCATTGAGACGCCAGGCCGTGGTGGTCGTCATCAAAGGTGACGTCGCTGCTAACAGTCACCTTGCCGTCAACAAGGACACGGTGGGTGGCCGTGTTGCACTCCGGTCCAAGCTAGGTTCCCGCCTTCATGCGGGGACCGAGCTTATCCTGCTGGCTGGCTGGGATGCGGACGTAGGCAAGGCAGCCAAAGGTGTGCAGGTGGCTGACGTCGGGGGTGACGCCATGTTAAGCTGGCCACGGCGTGGCCTCCCGGCCCTGAGAGGGAGCCACATTGCGCAGGAGGTTGGCATAGAGCAAAGCCTCTGGCCAATAGCTGTCCGAGAGGGCGGCATCGTACAGCATAGCCTGCACACGGTCGAGGAGCGTGTGATTGAGCTGCTCCGCTGCTCCGTTCTGCTCCGGGGTGTACAGCGCCGAGTGGGTGTGCGCAGTGCTGTGCTGGTGTAGCCACTGCTCCAGTTGCTCGGCGACATACTCACCACCGTTATCACTATGAAGTGTGCGTACCCGTGCATGGTTCGGGTGGTGAGCCTCCAGCCGCGTCACCATGTCCTGCAGCGCTTTGCCCACTTGGTTTTGGCTAACCAGGGTGCGAACGGCAGACGCACCCGTCGCACCCGTCGCACCCGTCACAGGGGGCGACGGCAGACGGCGAGGCACCGTCCAGCAGCGTTAGCAAGTAGTGAGCCCCACCTCGGCCCGTGGCGGCATGGGCCCGCACAGGTCAGAGTGCACGACCTCCAGTGCATGCTGAGGTCGGTTGCCGCGGCTGACGTGGGCTGTAGCTGTGGTCTTCACGGTGACGCAGGCTTCACAGACGCCATCCGCCGCCTGATGCAGCGCCGCTGGAATGACCCGTGGTCCATGCACCAGCTGCTTGGTGATAAGCTGCTCCAACACCCGGTAAACCAAGGTGGCCGAACTTGTGGTGCAGGCGCTGCACTGCTGCGAGTTCGGCGACTGAGCACTCAGTGGCGCCCAGTTGCCCTTGGCCATTGCTGGCGCCGTTCGGCTGGTCTCCGCCGGCGCCACTGCTGGTTGTGCTGCCATCGCGGGTGCTGGGGGCGTCGGCGGCACTTCTGCCAGCGTCACCACCTCCGCCGGCTCTGTCTCCCGCGGTGCCGAGCATGTTGACGGCGCGTTTGGTCGGCGCCAGCAGGTCCACATCCATGACGTAATGCCCGCACTCGCTCCATGCAGTGATAGACAAGCTGCTGTGCAGGAGGTGTACGCACGAGAACCGGCGGCCCGTCTTGTCTGTGCGAACGTGACCGAGCAGCCACGCGTCACGAGAAGGTCGACAGACATGAGTGTGTGTCCCGAGCTGGGGACATGTAGCACATTGCACAGCCAGACAGATTCTCCATCGCGCATCCTAGGAGCAACTGCCCTGTTCCCATGACGTCGGCTAGCTGATTGTTTCCCCACTTGATTTGCTGAGGCGCGCCAACAGGGATGTAATTGTGCATCAAGGAATGGTCACCCGTGAGGTGGTAAGGTGAGCCAGAGTCTAGGACAACACATGAACTGCTACCACTGCCATCGACGACCAGCACCGTGGCACGGTTCTGGCGTGAGCTTCTTCTGCCACCACCGCCGCCACTGCTTCCGCCTGCAGTGTCACTGCCGTTGCGGCGGCCGTTGCCACATCCAACATGGCCGCGTTCACGTGCCCTGTCGCCCCCGCTGTTACTGACATTGCCGCTGCCGGTGCCTCCGCCACCGCCGTCACGATGGCGGTTGCCACTGCCACTGCTGCCGGCGCCGGCACTGCATGGCTGCTCGAACGCATTGCTGCGGTAGAGACCAACAGACTCATCCGCCAGCTTAACGGGGCATTCGCGGACGTAGAGACCAGGCTGTCCACAGTAGCGGCAGATGTCGTTGGCGCCCGCGGCGCCCGAGGCGCCAGCAGCACCGCGGACTCCTGGTGTTCCTGCCATCGAATACGGAGATGTTTGCACTGGGCGAGGGCAGGTCGAGCACTTTCCTCCCCCCCTGTCTTGGCAGGTCGTAGCAGTACGGGTGCAGTTTTAGCTTGGGCGCAATCATGTAGCACTCGGGTGGATAGTGTGGCGCTTCCCCGCTACTCTTTGGATCTTCAGTCGGTTGCAGTGCCCCCCGTCATTACTAAGTTGTTGGTGGCGCAGCTGCAGCTCGCGGCTCCTAGTCTTGATCACTCTGCGCGTCTTTTGCAGATTGCTCAGGTTGTCATGTCTCGTGTTGGTGCCAAGACCTGGCAGTCGTATGCGTCGCATTTTGCCGCCTTTGTGTGTTTCTGTGTGGGGGAAGGTTTGGAGTTTCTCCCGGCCTCCCATTATGCCGGGCTCTTGTGGAGTCAGTTTCTCGCTGCCAAGGGCTCCATCCAAGTCCGCACAGCGCAGCCTTATTTCAGTGCTATTATCTCCGTGCATGACTTGCTCGGGTACCCTAAGCCCTGTGCCGGAGACAACACCCTGTTGGCCGCGTTCCGTCGAGGTTGGGCGCTTGCAGCGCTCAACGGTGCCTGCTTCTGCGCTCGTGTTGGCCTTTAGTGCAGGTATGCTTGGCATCTTTATGAGCAGTTGGCCGTGGTACCCGTTGGCTCCGAGTTAGCCTTGCCGTTGTTGTTCGTCGTGTTGAGTTTCTGTCTCTTGCTTCGCCCAGACTCTCTGCTGTCGGTAACCTGGGCGCGTGTTGCTGTCGTTCAAGGGGAGCAAGTTGTTCAGTACAAACCCCTCAATTGGAAGGGCCGTTTGGTTGCCGTTTGGTTGCCCGTTTCCCTGCAGTGGGCTGTCCGTCAGCGTTTTTTGCGTGATCCGGCGCGGTTGTGGCCGGCGGTCAGTCTACGCGTGGTGCTGAGCATTGGTTTAACTTAGTCCTTGCAGAGTGTGGTTTGCCTCATATGCGCGGGGTGCATTCTCTCTATAGCCTGCGTCGTGGTGGCGCTTCTGCTGCTCGGGCGGTGGGAGTACCGTTTGAGATCGTTGAAGCGTTTGGCGGTTGGTCTGCCGGTGCTGTAGCCCTCCGAGAGCAAACACAGAAAGTATGAAGACAGGGAACCGTCGCGGCGACATTTTCATTTACGTCTTAGGTGACATATAATGTTAAGTAATTAGGATGTAACACGCCTGCTTGGTTCTTGCCGTCTAACATGTGGATGCCGTACACGTTTCCGTTATTACGGTCAAAGTATGAGGTGCAGCATACGTTTACAGTACCTCTCCTTGTGTTATGTTGCAGATTACTTGAAAGGAACTGGCTCCAGTTGGCGACTGGAGGAAGCATTTGTTCCCAACTTTCCCGATCTGCAGAGCCCGACGTCAGAAGCTGGCTGAGAGACAAGGAAGGAAAGATTACTAAGCTTAAAAATATGGTAGAGGGTTGCCTTAAATTGTCTGACAAACAGGGTGATTCCACTTGGCCGCACACTAGCATTAAGTTTCAAAAATCTCACGCCTGGCTCAGCAAATAATGCAAGCGATAAGAAACTAGTTAAATACATTAATAGAAAGTAAAAATCCTTTAAAAAATCGCGTAAAGGGACTCCGTACGCGAAAAGCCGAACGGCCCAGTGCGTACGCGTACGCCTCGGACACTAAGTCCGCATTACAGGGTATTTCCACTAGGCCGCACACTAACATTAAGTTCAAAAAATCTCACACCTGGCTCAGCAAATCATGCAAGCAATAAGAAACTAGTTAAATACATTAATAGAAAGTAAAAATTCTTTAAGAAAATCGCGTAAAGGGGCTCCGTACGCGAAAAGCCGAAGGGCCCAGTGGAAACGCCTCGGACACTAAGTCCGCCTTAGTGGCACACTTGTTATCAGGGCCTCAGACCTGCTGATAACTTTCAAAGTGGACATTAACTTCCGAGCGGGAAAATTCATAGTCAGCCATTTTCCTTCTTCATGGCCTTACGTTGGCTTTTGTATTTTCCTTTATCCACAGCCGCAAATAGCCCGCTAACCAGTGGAATTCACAGCAGGACCGGTCGAATTGCCCACATTCCAGCAATTTGCCGACCAAACTGTAATGATTTGCGCATTAAATTACACCCACTCTTACTATAACAATGGTTTGGTGCCTTTATAGCAACCTGTCGTATGGTTCCGGGGCGCTTAGTGGAAACACCTGTCCACTGCCACACACTAAGTCCACGTTAAAGATAATGTCCAAAAGTTAGTGTGCGGCCAAGTGGAAATACCCTGTTAGTGGCACACAAGTTATCAGGGCCTCAGACCTGCTGATAACTTTCAAAGTGGAAATTTACTTCCGAGCGAGAAAATTCATACTTTGCCATTTTCCTTCCTCAAGGCCCTACGCTGACTTTTGTATTTTCCTTCATCCACAGCCGCAAATTTAAATAGCCCGCTAGCCAGTGGAATTCACAGCAGGACCGGTCGAATTGCCCACACTCCAGCGATTAGCCGACAAAACAATAATGATTTGCGATTTATAAATTACACCCACTCTTACTATATCAATGGTTTGGTGCCTTAAAGCAACCTGTCGTATAGATCCGGGGCGCTTAGTGGAAACACCTGTCCACTAGCCGCACACTAAGTCCACACTAAAGATAATGTTTGAAATTTTATCACTAACTTTAAAGTTAGTGTGCGGCCAAGTGGAAAAACCCTGAAAGCCATACACGACACAGAGTAGTACTGATCAAAGCCAATCCATACCTACTCGGTAACGAACACAAACCCCTTACATTACTTTGATAGGGTATTATAAAGTGTGGTTACGTGTACGTAGCTTTGCTATCCATTTTGAAATTACTTGAAGCCGCCGACCTTTTCACGTGTGCACACTCCGTGCTCATGGATGTTTTAGAAGACTGAGTTTCTCCTCCATCTCTCCCTACGCCTCTTGACAGCAGCCCGGGCGTTACGGCGGTGGCCCGCGCCAATGGCGTCAGTGGTCCAGTCGCCCACAAACTTAGGAACTACTTACGGCAGAAGGCTCTGAAGATGGACGCGTTCATTGCGGAATTAGTGAAGGCGTCCGAGTACTACGGCGCCAAGCACATGCAAGAGGCGCTGATGACCACGCTTGGCATCAACGCCTTGGAGTCGAGCACACTCGTTCGTGTTCTTGTCCCCAAGGACAACAACAAGCGCCGGAACAGGTAAGGAATAAGGGTATGCAGAACGGGGGGCAACAGGCTAAGCTTTTGATAAAGAAAGGTAACGGATACCCTGGGGGGGGGTTCACACATGTACTCTCCGTCTAAGGCTTTCTGTCAGTATGCGCTGGCTATCTTGTGATACTCTGCAACTCTGTCACGATGTTATTTCAACACTTGCCATTCATTCCGTTCTTAAGGAGACAGACTCCCAAAGGTTCAGCAGGAAGACAAGGCTACGGACGACGCTGTCTATGACGTCTTGAAGGCGAAGCTGCAGAACGCGATGGCAAACCACCAGTCAGGTAGAAAGGGTGATGTTTCGGAAACCAAACGATATTCAATCAAACTGTGCGTTACACCTCACACTTCCACAGTGCTGATCTTTACGTTAGTTGGAGTAACCCACGTTTCGGATGCCGATGCATGCAGAGAAGAAGAAGTCGGACTTCTTCAAGGCCATCGGACTGACGACTGCAGATAAGGCTCAGCTCGAGACCGTGGCGACCTTGGATGCCATCCATGCGACCGAGCTCTTTAAGGAGTGGGTGCCTGACCATGTCGAGGTCAGCACTCAGCCAGCAGGTAATGCATGCAAAGAAGGAAACGTGGACGTTTCCTCAACCTCAAGACGACCTCAACCTCACTTGCAATCTGTGCCTCCGTGTTCTCTTTTGCAGGTCAGGAACGCAAGAAGAGCAACCACACGGCTGCAACGGAGGGTAAGTGAACACCACTGCTCAGTAAAAGCTAAATACCCCACGTGTTGTTACTAAGATCAGACATGAAGGTCATATACATTACCTACTTGAAGCTTCCCTGTCATGCAATACATCATGTTGCTTGTATCCCTTCCTAACTTCACAACTAAATGTACAACCCCCCAGGCCAGGCCAACGTTATGGAGACGCAGCAGGAGCCCCTCGGCCAGAAGAGCAGCCGCCAGGATGGGGATGAGGGAGATGATGGGGACTACAGCGGGGAGGACGAGGGCGAGGGCAGGGAGGACGAGGGCGAGGGTGGGGAGGACGAGGGAGGGGAGGATGAGGGAGGGGAGGAGGAGGAGGGGACGGGGGGCAAAGTCCTGCTCGAGGAGTACGGCAGAAGCAAAAGCCAGAAGGTCCACAGCAAGTCCGTGCCTCAACCAACTGGGCGCCGCAAGGTCACCAGGACCGGAAAACATGACAAAGGTAAATTGTAGCTCCAACATGACAATAAATTACGACTACACACGGAACTTACTAACAACAAGGCAATTAATTACGACTACACATAAAAATTAATTTCTGAATCACTCTCACTTATTGTAGGGGCATTGGATGGCAGAGGGCAGCCCACGCGCCTGAGGCAATCCTCGGCTAAGGCTAGGGAGAGCCAAGAAACGGTGGCCATGGTGGTGCCTGCTCGAACCAAACGTCCACGCCCTAAGGAAACCCCACTGGTGTTGCCGGAGGACCCATCAGCTTTCGGGGCCACAGCGTCAAACCCCGCAAAGAGGAAGGAATCGTTTGGTGTCGGTAACGGCCGAGCTGTACAGACCCGCAGGGCTAAGGTGCAGTAGGAGAAGGGCAAGAAGGCCATGGCAGAGATTCGGAAGGGGGGGCTGAAGAAGCAGCGGAGGTAGCAGACCGCGGGCAGTGATCAGGAACCTGGAGGGCGCCTGTAGTTTCAAGTGATTGTCAATGTTGAGTAAAGAAGGGCCTCTAGTCCTCGTGGTACCGATTGAGAGATGTGAGCAGGTTGTAGTAGGCCATTGGGCAATGCTTTGTGTATGAGGGAGTCTGCCATTCGAAGTGCTTGAACGGGGGCTGGTCTCCGTCGAATTCCTGCAAAGCAACGGAATTCGAACGAAGAGCAGAACGAACTTTTCGTTCAGACAGGGCGCGCACTTCCTGGCCCAAGGCATGCTGTACCAGGGCGTCGTAAGAGGCAAACGGCTTTCCATAGACGTCTGTGGCGCAATGGGGCTGAAGGGAGGAAGAAAGGCCTTCGAAAAACCAAAACATACGCTCACTAGGAGTGATCGTGGGTATGTCTTGGAAGACGGCCTCAAGACGCGAAAGGTAAGCTGGTACACTTTCACCAGCACGCATCGCAAAAGATTTGTCAGAGAGCCTACGTCGTGCTTCTTGTTCTACAGAGATAACTTGAGGAGCAAAACGCGTGCGCAGGTTATCCAGAACAAGCTGAGCAGTGAGTTCGCGCTGCGATAGGGACCACTCATCATACCACGTTTTTGCAGCGCCACGGAGCGCTTGCGACAAAAACAGGCAGCAAGACCGATGGTCCCTACCCCAGGGCACGATTTCGAAAAACAAAGACGCGTCGCGAATAAACGCCTTTACGCGAGCGGCAGTCTGCTTAGCATCAAGTTTGGTATCTAGTTGCAAAACAGGAGTCGGTAAACTAACCCGAGGGAGGTCGGCAGAAGGAATAGGCCGAAACGAAGGTAAGGGCTCTGGCTCGGCTGCGGCTGCCGCCGCAACCGCAGCCTCAGCAGCAGCAGCCGCTTCCGCCGCTAACGCCCGCGCAGCCGCCGCACGGCGGTCTGCATCTGTAGTCTGAGTCTCTGGTATAACAGGCGAGACATTTGGGCGATTAACAGGGGTATTGAGCGGGTGGCGAAGAGCGAAAGGGGCCAAAGAAGGCAAGGAGTTGAGACGTTCATCGCTATTAGGACCAAGTGGCCTCAAACGAACATTCTCGGCAGCCCCAGTGGGCATATGCAACAAAGGTGCTGCGGCAAAAGTTGAGAATGGCGTTCGCGCATCAGGTTCGCGAACAGCAACAGGGACCTCAATAGGGACGCCCGGACCTCTAGAAGTACTAGGTGCCCCGGGGTCAGAAACAAGTCCCGCAACAGCGTAGGCAGGCAAAGTGGAGCGAGCATCAAGTGCGCCCGACGCCATGTCTACACCATTACGGTCGCCGCCCAAATTTAACGGAGCGGGGTCAAACATTTTAGTTAAATAAGAAGAGCCTACCCTTATGTAATAACGGCGTGGTCACCAACGCGGATAAGGGAAGGGCTTGAGGAGGCGGCTCTACCTCGGTTGGGTCCGCCGCACCCGTTCTAACCTCTGCGATCACAATGGGCGATGCAACCAAGGACAAAACAATACAGATGGTTACGATCTTTCACTTACCCTGAAGAGCAGCCACGAGCGCTCCAACACTGTAAGCCTCTGACATTGGCTAACGATCGAGATTGGTGCGGAAGAGCTGGTCGAGACCGAACGTCTCGATACCACTTGTTGTATCCACTTCCACTGTTTGGGTGGTAGTGAAAACTACCGATTAGTGAATGAGAAGAGGCTAAATGCCTCTGCGTTAGGACGACCCGTACAGAAGTCTGTACGGTCCGAAGATATAGTCGTCAACGCGAATTATCACCAATCGGTGCAATCGTAACCCAAGTGGGTCTACCAATGACAAGTGTCACGATTATAGCAAGAGCGCTATAATCCAGTATTACGCGTGATAAAGACAGGCAAGTGCCCGCTTAAAGGTGGGCCAGCGCCCAAGAGATAGGCAAGTGCCCAATGGTTAACCAAATAAGAGCGAAGATATTGCCCAGCGGCAAAGTACCAGAGAATTGGGGAAAGATCCGAGGGTTAATATGCAAGTGTGCCACAACAATATGAGAGCTGACAGCAGGGGTTGATGGTGTGACCTGTACCGTCCTATGCTGTCCGTTAACATGCTGTTAACGGACAGCATAGGACGGTATAGGTCCTATGCTGTCCGTTAACATGCTGTTAACGGACAGCATAGGACGGTATAGGTCACACCATCAGCGGGTTCATGTTATCCCGTTAACGGCATGTTAGCGGGATAATATGAACCCGCTATTGAGCTGGTAATCGCTGGTAATCGCGTAAGAGTTTGGTCGGTTATCGTCCTAATAATATCTATGTTATTGCCCCATTACCGAGGACATTCTTGTAACTGGCCGCCTGATAAACGACCTGGTAAACACCCGATAATGCTGCCTGATTACCGGGTAACTGACCGATTACCGACCCTAGCCTTGTAACTGGCCGACCGATAAACGACCTGGTAAACCACCCCGGTAATGGAGCCTGATTACGGGTAACTGACCGATTACCGACCCTAGCCCGTTAACGACCCCTTATAGCCTGGTAATCGAGGCCGGTTACCAGGTGTTCCCATTATTGGGCCAACAACATGCGGTAGGGCAAGATCCTATACGTTCCTAAACGTTCACACATTATGGGCTCCCACTCCATGGCTCCAAGCCTTAAGCAATTGTTTGCTTCAAATTATGCTACAAATAGCGTGTTTTGGTAAGCGTTGTCCAGTAAGCATACTTGTGCACGTACTTCGGCAAAGCATGGACGTGGTTAGTCTGCAAACCTACGTCACGTTTTCACAAGCGTTGTGGCACCCAATAAGCTGCTTGCCTTGTGTGTGCACGAGGAGCAAAGGGTTTCCCACAAGAAGCACGTCTGGGTCTGGTCTGGGTTGACACTACTGCAATTAGCGGTTAAAGGTCCTGGGTTCGATTCCTGGGGAGACCCCCGAATTAGTCGGGAGCGCGAGATTATGGCTAGCTGCTGAGATGTGGAGATGAGGTCACAGTTGATGGACCAGATTCGCACGCTGGATTGGTGGCGATTGCCGAACCCTCCGTCTCTTTGGGTGTTCGGGTGAATGGATGAGGAGGGGTCCCCGAAGGCTGGATCCGCCGCCTTGGACTTACAGTTCGTATGGCGAAGTACAGTGTGGTAGTGGTGGATGGTGCTATAAGGTGATAAATGATCTAGAACTGACAATGTGATAAAGCGGCCCAGAAGCTTCCCACTCTGTAACATTACATTACATTACATTACATTACAAGAAGCACAAGCTGCCGCATGTGAACACAGGCAACTGCAGGGACCATGTGGAGTACATGTCCCTTGCAGAAGTGCGCAGGGAGCTGTCGAAGTTGAAGCTGCCTGCATCTAAGATCCCTGACTACGCCCATGTGTGGGACAAGCCCCACCCCTGCGCCCTTGCCAGTCATAAGCAGCGGGGAAAGAAAAACACCGAGGAAGCTAGGGGGGTAGCACTGCCTGAAGCAGGTGGGCCTGGCATAGGTGGGCTAGGTGACGTGCTCGCTGGCAGCGCTGGTGCTGCTGGTGCTGCTGAGGGTGCACCTGAAGATGGACACGACAACATACAAGGGGATGGGGCGGGAAGGGTGGAGGAAAGGGGACGTCAAACAGCACCAGCCGCCAGGAGAAGTGCAGGGATGCAAAGCGGTGGGGGCACTGCTGGTGCTGGCGGGCGTGCCACTGGTGCTGGCAGGATCGGCACTGGCCATGGCGGCGGTGCAGCTGGCCCTGTGACTGGTGTACCTGGTGATGGCCAGGTAGGCACTGGCTATGGCGGCGGTGCAGCTGGTGCTGGTGGGGTTGCTGCTGGCACTGGCGGGGATGCCGCTGGCCATGGTGAAGGTGCTGCTCGTCTCGGGGCTGCTGCTTCCGTCGGCAGGTGCACCACAGGACAGGGCGCCAGCGCAATAGACGACGAAGACGAAGACAACAGCACGGATGAGTCGAACCCCGTCGACAGTGATACCGAGCCGTCCATAGTGGCTGAGCCGTCAACGGTGCGCAACCCTGCTGGATTACGGAAGATGCAGCTAAGGGAGGGTGGTGCCACCTACGAACGTGCAACGGCTGCAGGTCAGTTAATTAGTGGCCAGGATGTCACGCCATATGACGTGCTAACAGACATAATAAATGCGGATGGATCACTGGGTAATGATGATTATACAATAGGAGCTTTCTCTCAAAGCTCCGGCTTGATTCGGCTGGCTCACTCCAGCTTCGTTAACTTGATGTGCGCGATCGCGGTAGGCAAGGACGGGCTGGGAACGGATCCCTGTCGAGCCTAGAGGTATAAGCACTAAGGGCGGACCTTATGGAGTGCTGTGTATACACTCTCTGTCTATCCTGCTCTGATGCGCGTCTCGAGGTAGGGTAGGATCACAGTCTTGTTACACCAAAACAGGCCTATCAACCCTCCGATGATTATATTATCCTTAATAATCAATGGTCTGTACGCTCACGAAGAGTTGCTTCGAGAGCCAAACGACAAATGTTTGGCCTCTTCGCACTCGCATTTATGGCGAAGTATCGACTGATCCACGCCGGGTCTTATCACACGAGGCCCTATCCTGGATACGTAACGCTCATCCGACTAACGACAGATGAACGATCCTCAAATCACAACGGAAAGCGCCTTATACGCTAGTCAGGCAACACCCAAAGTCTCAATTAAATCAATACGCGGTTCGCCTAACTACCTTCGGTTGGCTTAACCACCTGCGGATAGCGACTAACTCGGTCGTGGCACGTAATTTGTGCGCTCCAGATGTTTTGGCGTGACAGCTGTCACGCCATATGACGTGCTAACAGACATAAGAAATGCGGATGGATCACTCCCCCCCCGCTCATGCGCGGATTGCGCTAGGTGAGCTGGCGGTAGACCACCCCATAAGGCACTAAAGTAACTGAACGGCGCGCGTTATGTCCTTCACCAGGGCGCGCTTCCACATAGCACTGCTGAACACAACCAACCAAAACTTAGTTCCTACTTGCAAAACACTCAAACGGTCGTCCCGTTGCACAGCACGGAGCCAATGCAAGCGTGCCGGATCCGCCTGCGTGATATAAGTGCGAGGCACAGCAGCGATGACAGCTACCTCAGCATGCTGACATGCCACCGGCAACACCACATCCATCACCTCCTCAGAGATATCCAACCCTATGATTGGCATGGCGACCCCATCAGAACGAGCCTTTGCAAAACTTTGCGGCTGGGCCGTGTAGAGGGTTGCCTTGTCGGGCATATACCGAACGGTGCAGGCACCCTCCCGCAACTGCTGCACTGCCTTCTCATCCCACTTCCAAGGGGTAAACACTGATCCCACACAACCAACTGCGACGGCTTGCGTTAGAACGCTAACATCCTCAGCCCTCACAGGATCCTTCCTCATGATACCTTTACATCCGGCGGTCACCAATGCCTTTACTTTGCTTGGACTGTGCTCTCCCGGCATCACACGGGCCAAAGCTTGGCTGACCCCCTTGATCGTGTGAAGCTCGAACGGGCCCGAGCACGGATGCTCCTTGGCCTCAGAGATTCCCGCCATCACTTTCTTGGCAGAGGGGCGTGTAGGGGCTACACGATTGCGCAACTCGCTCACACTAACCACCTCAACGTCTCCATTGTCGTACACCACCTGAAACACGTGGGACCTTCCCCTGCGGCCAGCATACGATGCTACACCCAACGACCGGGTGGTGCGACGCCCTCTTCCCTTAGACTCTCTCATAACAGCCACGCCTTGGAGGTCGCGCAGGTACTTGGGTGGCTCGGGAGCTGCACCCCGCGCAGGTTCGGACGACTTCCCTTCCAAAGCTTCAGCACTAACTCCTTTCGACTCACACTTTGGGCAAATCCATGCGCCCTCCGGTATCTCCTTCAAAGGCGGCTTAAGACAATAAGTGTGCCATCCAGTGCCACACGCATCACATAACAACATCCATTCTTCACCATCAGGAAATCTGCACACCTCACAGGGATGCCCTGGAGATGGCCTAGCCAATCGCGGGTCGACCACGTGATCATCGATGGGCAAATGACAGGGCGCACAGTGACTGACATGGGCAGTAAGCGTGCTGCCACAGCGTCCCTCTAGCACCAACACCCCGGAGGGCCTCACCTCAGTAACCCGCAGAATATCCGGCTTGGCGTGGGGATCCAAGCTGGCGCGAGCGGAGGTATTCCGATAATACACGTAGTCACCCATCTCAAAACGACGCAAACGCGGCAAAACGGCTCCGCCCCTCATGCGCGCATAACGAAGAGTGTCACGGTGCTGCGCAATGAGTAGGTTGCCGCCCGTCACGGCCATATGTCGACGAAGCGCGGCAGCACGTTGCATAATAGACCTTGCCGCCGCCTCTGGGTCATCCAAACTCACGTCCCTTTCAAAACGCTGCTTAATCGCCGGTGGAATGGTGGGTTCCATGGCGTGCATGACGTGGTACGGCGTAACACGCGATGCTGACTGCACGGAGCAGTTGTAGCCCAGCATGACGTACGGCAGATGCTTGTCCCACTCCTCAACTCCACCGCCAGCATGTGCAATGCGCCGGAGCGCGTTTTTGCAAGTCTGAACAGCACGCTCTGCCAGTCCGTTGGCTTGCGGGTGGTTCGCGGAGGTCTGACGATGATCTATCAACGAATCAATCAACAATTGCGCAAACTCAGCTTTCCACTCACTGCCCTGATCTGTACATACCTCAGCACAGGCCCCATAACGGCCCAAAATGTGGTGCTGGAAGGCGAACGCTGTCTGCTCAGCATGCTTGTCAGGCAGCGGAATGAGAACCACGTACTTAGAAAAATGTTCCACACAAATCATTACGTAGGTAAAACCCCTGGGGGTCTTCTTGAACGGACCACACAGGTCCACACCCCAGCGGTAGAATAAACCCGATATTGGCAGCGGGTTGAGCTCCAGCGCCCTGGCTGAAAAGCTGGTGTTGACACGATCGCAGGCAGCGCAGTGACGTACTACCGAAGCGACATCATCGTGCATCCCCTGCCACCAGTAGCTGGTGAGAAGCAGCGCAGTAGTGTGCCGCACCCCGAAGTGCCCAGCCTGCTCGTGGGTGCGCTTGATGATGTCAGTGCGGTCCCCAGGTTTGGGAACGACGCGTGGCTTGCCGTCGTTCTCGATGTGATAGAGTGTCTCTCCTTGGAAACGGTACTTTCGTGCACGTTGAGCACAACGCTTTTGCTCTGCCAGGTCGGTGCCAGGTGGACATTCGCCTGAGCGAAGAAGACAAATCGTGATTTCGTCGTCCCAAATATCCTGACGCCGGGCATCGGGACTGAGAGTCTGATCTTGAGCATGCGCGGCCAGCGCCATAGAGGCCCCACCCATGTCACTAAGAGGGTGAGAGGCCACGCTCACGGCAAGCCCTTGTGAGAGGTAAGCAAGCTCGTGCACGACGGATCGGCACGATGCTGCGGAAAAGGCTTGCGCCTTGGCATCTTGCGCCAGGGCGCGCAGGATTGCAACAACACTGGATATGAGTGCTTGGTCAGTTGCGTTGGCCAGCACAGAGAGACGAGCATGATCTGTTAGGCCAGGAGCGGCTGACGCCCCTGCCTCATAACCCAACACGAGGTCACACTCCCCGGGATACAGGGAATCGTACTGAGCGGTGATACTGTTGTACAACGGAGTGGCGATACTCCCCACAACATCCAAGCCACGCTGCCCCACTGAGCCTGGATAAAGCGCGCGGACGGGCTTTCCAGCATGGTCACAGGGGTAGTACGTATAGCGCATCTGACGCGCGGAGATGGGTGCTGAATGCTCACTGCTAAGCACGTCTTGGAGTTGTCTGCCGGCGGGCCGGATTGCAGATTGCACGACACAGGTGAACTCCTCGGGTGACGCGAGGTTACTCCAACACTGGTAAAGACAGTGTGAATACGAGCCAAAGCGTGCAGCATTGGTAAGGGTGGCTTTCCCAAACATCTTGTCAGCATCCTTCTCGGCAGTTTCGGACTCGGGTGTTTGGGCTGAAAGCGGTAGGGACGTGCAGCCAAGTATGCAGGCCGGTCGAGGTGAAGGAACGAGCGCCTGGAGCTCGTTCATCACGCTGAGAACCTTTGGCACTGCGTCAGCTGACTGAGCGTTCCAGAACGCGATAACCAACCACAGGCTACCCTCCTGGGCTCCTGCCAGCCTAAGCTCCGGACCTGTGACTTGCCGGACGTCCTGAGACAGTGCTATAAATGTATCGCTCCATGCTGAGAGCGGAAATAACTGGGGATAGGCAGCGCTGAGTGCTGGCAATCGCGCGGCGGCCACCATCCTTGCATGCTGGTCTATGTCCGAGTACAGATACTTGTTGACCCTAATTCCATTGCGCAGACAGCAGGGTTCTTCACCAGGGTACCCAAAAATTTCGGCCGTGTCCGAAACCCTCTGATTAACCTTTCGGGGCCCTCCCCGAAAATTTTCCTGTCAGCCGGAGAGTGTTTTCGGGTACCCCGAAACTGTCTAAAGCGGTTTTCGGGGTAAAATTTAGCTGGATTCTATCGTTATATGCTAGGACGGCTGAATTAACAGGTGTTTGATTTTATTTTGGAACATAGCTCCTGGGAGAAATATTTCAGCAAGGATTTTACCCAAAGCAAGGCTATCTTTGACTTCATAACTGAAAACTCTTCCTGCAAAACGTCAAGTTCGCTGACATCGAAGGCAAACAGGCGGTTCGAGCTTGCCGAAGCCGCGAATCCCGAGGGAGATGCGGGGCACCTTCATCATCAGTTGACTCGGGCATGTTTAACTATGCATATGCTTAGATGTATGAAAATGTGGGATATGGATATGCTTAGATGCATGAAAATGTGTGCGATACAGCTGCGATACAGCTGCGAAGCAGCCGCAATGCACATTTGTACTTGTTGTTTGACTGGTGACCAAGCGGGCCTTACACGGCAAGCCCGGTTTCCAGCCCCGGTCTGCGCCCGAAAACATGCTAATTTAGGCTGAAATATCGTTCGGTTTTCTCCGAAAATGCCTTCAAAATGCTTCGGTGGGGCCCCCGAAAAAATGCTCCAAAAGGCCCCAAATCCGTTCGGGATGCTCCGGGGCGCACTAATTTTCCTTTCGGGCAAAACGGAAAAGTCTCAAAAAAGTTTGGGCCCGAATCGGGGTGAAGAACCCTGGCAGACAGGCCTCAAGGCCCGCGCACATGCCGCCTAGCGGCTCATAAAGTGTGACTCCTTTCTGTGTGGCCAGTGGGAAGAACTGGGCTCCCACTGAAACCTTCAGGGTGTCACGGTCTGTAGGCACCGAGGGGCTGAGCCACCGGAACGTTTTGCAGCGGACAGCCACTCAGTTGCGAGGCTTTGCAGCTGGGTCCGGGCTGCGGCTCGCTGAGCATCTTCGGCCTCGGGAGGCGGCTCAAGCGACTCAAAACACCAACCGTTCCATCCGCAAAGATTCTCCTCCGGGCTGGGGCAGAAGGTGTCACTGAATGGGGCAACGGATGCCGCTGTATGGATAGTGGCGCACGCCAGCTGATGGTCAGCCCACGCTGCCCGCACGGATGCAGCAGCGAAGGCCGGGGTGAGAAGTGCGGACTCCCCGACTTCCTCATCCTCATCAAGCCGGGCGCCAGTGTTGTCAGCCTTGCTTGGCGCGGGGTTGCAGGACAGGGTGTCCGCGTTCTAATGCTTAATTCCCGGCCGATGCTCGATGACAAAATTATATTCCTGCAACGCTAGTGCAAAGCGTGCATATTGTCCTGTAAGCCCCTCCGAGCTCATCAGGTACAGCAGTGGTTGATGGTCTGTAATCAGCCTAAACGGAGGGCCACCGATCAGGTGGTGCTGGAACATCTTCACAGCCCACACGGCGGCCAGCATCTCTCCCTTGTAGATGCTGTAGTTTGCTTCGTGCATGTTAAGCGAGCGGCTGATACAAGCACACATGTATTCGTTTCCGTCGTCATCGACTTGCCCGAGGACGGCTCCTATGCCCTTGTTGGAGAAATCCGTGTGCAGTATTAGCGGGCGGGAGTAGTTGATGCGACGCAGGATAAGTCCCTCCTTGGTGAATGCAGTCTTGATGGCTTCAAACGCCTCTTGCTGCTTGGGATCCCAGACCCACGGTTCACCTTTCTTGAGGAGCTTGTTCAGATCCGCTGCGAGCTGGCTCATTTGCGGGACGTAGCAGCGGTAGTAGTTGATGAAACCCAGCTGTGTACGGAGCTCAGACACGTTGCGGGGAGGCTGAAGAGCCATGATTGCGGCGACCTTGGCCTGGTGAGGACTGATCCCAAAGGCACTGAGGTTGTGACCCAGGTACTCAATGATGTCAGCGCCGAAAATTGACTTGTCAGGATGGGCACGGAGCCCACAGGCTGCCAACACGTCGAGTACAGCGGCCACATGCTTGACGTGCTCCTCAGGCGTCTGTGACCAAATAAGTACGTCGTCAATGAATGCTACACTGACATCGGCCAGGCCTGCCTTGCCCAGCTCATAATCCATGACGTGCTGAAAGTAGGCGCTGGCATTTTTGAGTCCATACGGCATTCGTGTGTAGGCCATGAGCTTGTTGGAGACCCAGTACGAGGTACGAGCCTGATGCTCAGGCGCTATGGGGATCTGCAAAAACCCCTGCCGCAGGTCCAACTTGGAGAAAATAGTAGCTTTGCCTACGCGCTGGAAAATCTCCTCAGGACGATGCAGCCCATACTTGTCCTGTAGTGTGTGAGTGTTGACAGGGTGATAGTCCTGAGAGAGAGAGCAGGAGCGTTGCCAGCATGCTGAGCGCTGCAAGGCTTGTCCATGTGCGCTTGGTGACACTGATGCTTTTTGTGCGTAGGGCCTTAGCCCGTTTCCTCTTGCCGCTTCGCCGGGGCGGTGGCAAGGGCTCCTGGTGTGTTACGACCACGGGAGTGGCCGCAGTTGCTACGGCTCCAATCGTAGCTGCTACAGTACTGGTAGCTGCTGATGTAAAGCTGGTGACCGTAGTTATGATCGCTGATGCTGCCCGCACCAGGGCTGACCTGGGTGTGCTGGCAGACTGAGGTGCTGCATGTGTTGCGTTGTGCTGACCTGCTTCCATTCCCAACCGGTGCTCTGACGCCTGGGTAGAGGCAGCCGTAGGGGTGCTGGCGTGATTGCAGGGACTAACACATGCGTGCTGTGCAGTTGTGCTGGATGATTGAACACGTTGCAGACTGTCGTTGCTAACACATCCCCCCCAGCTCTGTTGACATATCACTGGGAAGAGAGCTGGCCCTGGTGCAGAAAGCTGTTGAACGCAGGCTAGCTGTGACCCCTCGTGTGGCAGACCGCAGAGCAGGTGTCATGGGGATGCTAATTGTGTAGTCCGGACTCTCGATGACATTGGGAAACAGGTGGAGCTGCGCTGTCGGATACTGGTGATGCGTCCGCGACAGGTAGCATTTGCTCGTTGCCCACCAAGAAATCGAACAGAGGCGTGTTGTCAACCACCAGTGTCTGAGTGAGGTTGAGCTTGAACTCGTGTATCGTGCCCGGAAGCATTGTCACTTGAACTCCCCTCGTGTCAATTTCCCCCAAAAGCTTGGCATCAACACCGGCGGACGTATCTAGGTGCGTGCGTGTGGGCATGAGTACCAAACCCAGCCGCTGCATGGTGTGCTGCATTATGAGATTTACGTCTGCGCAGTGGTCATGGAGGCTCCGGAACTCGGGGTGTTCATGACCATTGAACCGTAGTGCACCTTGTGGAAAATAAAACATGAGCTGTTTACGTGCGAAGTAGTCGGCTGCAGGACGGTTGCTTAGAAGCAGTTGCTGCAGCTCGACGCTTTTTATCTCCTGTATACTTCTGGGTAGTGCTCCAGTTACCCCTTAATCCAGTCATGTGCCTTGGCCAACCTGCTGATGATGTGAACCCCTTGATGATATATGCTGCTTCATGTTTCTCTGTACATATGGGCAAGCCGTTTCGCCCGCCAACATGCACAACTTGACCCTAAGTTAGATATCCTGGGCTGACCATGCAACACATGCCCATTCATGCTTGCAGGTGATGGTCGGGTCGGCATGGGTGCTGAATCCCGGGGCTGCTTTGTGTCCACGCGGAGAATGTTGAATAACACCAGTTGGGATGAAAGGCTGGTTCCTCTTGACCTAGAAACCACGATGGAGTCATTACTGAATTTCCTTGGGGAGCCGGTCACCGCATGGATGAATGCGCCACAGCATTTATTCCGGCGTCGTCAGACGACCTACATCAACGTCTGCAACGCTTTGGGGGCCCAGCCCCACCCTTCACTGTAAGTACACAGTTGGACAGTGTTACGAAGATTGTAAAGGATGCAAGGTTACATTCCGCTATTTCGCCATTCGAGTCATTGCAGCCAGACGGGAAGGCGGTATGGAACTTTGTTACTGGGGCCTGGGTCGGGGTAGTGTTTTCATGCGTGAACAATCAGCGGTGTTAAAGAGGTGGGTGCGTGGGCATAACAACACACGCACGATTGTATTTTTAGGCACTTTTACGGCTGGCCAAGGCTTAAGTACTTCACGTATTCATTTGTGCGTAGTTCCTAGTTTCTGAATGCGTTCGCCTGTAGCGATTCTGTTTGGGGTTCTTTGTTACCTGTGACCCACGGGTCAGATTGCCTGGAGTGACCCGAGTACGACCATATTTTCCACGTAATGATATTTTTTATTGCGTACGTACCCTGTACGTCCATACATGCTTGGTCAGGAGGTCACAGTACAACAGTCTGCGGGAGCAAACGAAGCAGGTGGCTGACAGGTACCGTGGCGAGGCAGCTGCCTTCCGACAACAACACGAGGATATTATGAAGGTCCAGAAAAAGCTCCTATCTGCTGCCGAAGAGCTGCAGGGCGAAATGGACGCACTGTGGTCAGCTGCTGCTGTACGGGAGCAGTCAGCTGCGCAGTTAGAGCAGAAGGAAAAATTTGGCGCGCACCAGCTATTCCGCCAGCAGTACGAGCTGGGCACCTCATTGACGTTAGAATCACGCGACGTTGAACCTTTCGCGCCGGCCTTCTTCACCACGGATGTGGTGAATGCAAGGACATTGCTGGAGGAGCGCATGCGGGAGTTGCCTGGGCCAGCAGATCAGCCAGGCGCGGCCATCACAGTCGCGGATGCTCCAGACCTTGCCAAGGATAGGGTTGCATGCAGGTGTGCGCGTGTGATGGATGAACTTATCGGTGTAGCGAAGCCGATGGGGTTCATCGATCGGACACCTCCGCCCACCCCAAACCCCAGCAAGACACGTGGACTGGGCAACACGGTCGACGGCAGCAGTGCTGCAAAAGCCGCTGAGGCGCTGGATGCAGCTGTGGACTGCCATGGTGAGGACAACGGCATTGGACAAGTTGCAGCGCATGATGGCTGTGCAGCTGCTATGCTCCTTGAAAGTGCCTCGCTGCCATGTGGGTCGCCCACTGGGATGTTTGTTCCGTCTACGCAGTTGGGTGCTAGCGAACTTAAGGAGTAGCTGGTGGCATTTGCTTTCCGTTTTGAGTGGCATCCTAATCGTCAGCTGCTGTTTGCTTTCCCGCCCAGTAGTGTTACATACACGATGCCATGTGTTCTGGTGAGGTGACGCGCCTCACAAGTGTGCCCACCGCCGCGGTCGTACTCACGTTGGCGCGGGATAGTCGAAGGAAGACGTGCTTTGTAGCAAACAGGCATGCGTGGTATCAGGCAAGTTTCGTTGTTCCCAGGGCTGAATTTGACATAACGTTTGGGGGGCGTGCAGACGTGTACAGGGATTCGACCCATTTGCGCGCCATGGCTAGCCAGGTTCGCTGCTTTGAACGGAGTCGGCGAGGTTGCGCGATGTGCGAGGTGTGAGATTGCAAGCGCGAGTGCAGCAGTGAGCGTTGTATGCGGGCGCTAAGTTTCCTCCAGCGGTGCAACGGACTTTGCCTAATTCGACGGCTACCTGTATTTTCCTACATGTAAGAGCTCGGATTCATGCTTCTATGTCAACTCTGTACTTTGTAGTCATGCATCACTATACGGCGGTGGTAAAACATTGACGAACAGCAGCCGTTTGGTATTGGAAAGATTATGAATGATTCTTGAATGTACCGTTGGTACGATGACCGTTGGCCCGGTGAGCCAAGGGCCGCCTTAGCGGCGTTACAGTCATGGTGCAAATGACATCAATGAAATACGCGAAATAAAGACCTCAAAAACATCAAGTTACTGTATCATGAAAGTGTTCCTCAAATAAATTTTAAGTGTCACCAGCCAACCAAAAATTGGGCCACTCATTCGTGACTGCTACCAGTAACGCTGTGTTCCCTGATTTCCTTCCTTATTAAGACGGGTCCAAATGTATTGAAAATTGTTACTTTTGACGTCCCAATTCGCCAACAAACGACGTCCTGACTTGCGCTTGCTTGCACGGTTGTCGGGCGATCTTGCGTTGTCTGAAGTTAGCGCCTTGTTCCCAGCTAATCTTTGAAGCGAACTACGGTATCCGTCCCTGTCCTCTGCCCAGCTCTGGGCTGCGACCTCCTGCGCCGCACTTGCCGTACCGCACTACAGGGCGAGCACTTAATCGGAGGGCAATCCCCAACGATTCCGTCTCGTATGCTCCATCCTCGCGCCGACAGAGAATTAGAATCGTGAGAGCAAAAAATGGGTCTTGAAAACGCCAGGAATGTGAAAGGCCCCGGGAGGAACCGTCTCGATACCAGACTTGTTGTATCTAACCAAACCACAACTGGATGGTGGCGTCGGAAGACACCGATTGGAAGAAATTTGTCCGCTTTAATAGCGGGGATCAGCCATCCCATGAATCGAACAGCCAGTTCCGAAATGGCGCGGTCCAGTCACGGAATGGCGTACACGGAATGGTGGAGCCCGCGTGTCCCAGTCATAGCCTGTGCTACGTCCCCGCCCATACTTCTGCAAGTATGGACTTCCGCCTGAGGCGGCGTTTACTTGTAGGCATCCATGACAGCTTCCTGCTCGCCATCTGACCCAGAGGTCGGAGCCATAAAAATCTGACAGAAAGGCGGCAAAATAGGCAGTTGGAATCCAGTTAGTTCCCGCGAACTTGTCCAGCAACTGCGCCAAGCGAAAGAGGGAAAACTAGACAGGAAATGTATCAGTTTGGGACCAGATTTAAGAAGCGAACACCGGCCGAACCAACAAAAAGATCGATCATGCTCCCACCTGCTGCACCCTTGGGGAAGGTCAGACGACCCTCGATTCGAGGGCCTCGAAATCCCCAGAAACAACGGCCATTTAATCCCAGCAGCCCCTGTGATCGGCATAGGGCACCCAACTGGTGCCCAGCAAAATTGCAGACGAGGTCCTCACACCTACGTCCAGGCATGTCTACATAGCCCTGAGGGCCCGCATCACCCGGCAAGCCCATGAACTCCTGCGGTGCCGTCAGTTGATCTAAATCTGGAACGTCACTAACATACACGGGCAGGTCAGCAAGTGAGGACCGGTGCTTTGCATGCAGTGCACTAGATAGACGGGCATTTTGGTCACCGGCAAGCATCACATCCTCCCCCAGCTGCCAGAGCTCAGAAATATCTTGTTGGACTCTCGCAAAAGCAGCTTCTGCTGCTGCTGCTCGCTGTGCATTAGTTGCACCTCCGGCTGGGTACACTCTGGAAGTTTCAGGTGCAAGGTAACAGGGCCCCACCAGGAGGCTGTTTCCTGACAGAAGGTTGACACGTATCCACAGGACCTCACAGCCTGCAAGACTGTTGTTTTTCCGGACAATGGTAACCCCATGGGAGACGGTATCATGCACGTAAAGAGCAAACCCGCCATAGTCAGCGTGTATGGCGTCTCCTGACCTCTGCACCCGCATCAGGCGGAAACCTTCAAGGGACACGTCACTGTCTGGCACTGCATCCGTTAAGTGTGCTTCGGTAGCAATGATGAGATCATGGCGAGTCACAAAAGACTTAATTCCGGCACGGTCAAGCTTAAAAACTCCTGCCTCCAACAACCCATGGACATTCCACAACAAAACCTTCAAACCTCTTGGCCCTCGGCTCACGTTATCCTAGTCATCCACTTCAGCAGGCAGGCCTGAAACCGGTTAGCACTAGTGAGCTTGCCAGCCTGGTCATGAGGTCGGTTATCAGCTCTGCTGCTGGGCCCTGCACGTCCCCCCTGCTTCGAATTGTGTTCCTTCATCAACCCCCAGACCTTGCTGGCCAGTCCCACCATGGCTGTCTCGATTAGGGGTGGAAACTTACGGCGTAATAGACTTTTTGGACCGTAAGTTACGCAAAGCGTAAAGCGTAAAGCATCAAATACCGTATATTACGGTTTGGAGCGTCCTGAGACCAACCGTATTGCTTAAACGTCATCGCGTGATCCGTACTCACTACTAACTTATTGTGGGGAAGGCCATTGCGTCTGCGACCACACTCCCGCGGTACCCAAACCCTTCAAAGACAACTCCTATCAGCCATTTGGCTGTTAGTGGGAGGGCGGGTGGGCCGCTCGCACGGCAATCGAGTAGAGAGTACGAAAATAACCTAATGCAGTCATCGACAGCAGAAAACGTAAGCCTCCAGCCTCAGGCCGACTCTCTTACCTACCATTCATATTTTCTACCTCGTTCCCAAGACTCCGCCGCGTTGCCTCTAGTTCGGCTCGTGCCACAGGTAACTTCGCTCGTCGCTACTTTGCCATTCACCTTCGCCTCCACCCAGCCTCTGCTTCTCCACAGAAGCGGCGACCTCCTTCGCCGTTGTTACGCCTCGTCTATGCGAATCCTCCTCATCCGACTGGGTCTTCTGCCTACCCGGTGCGCGCCCCCTCTCTCCGCGCATCCGTCTCTCCGGTCCTCTCTAACGGTTGCCTACCTTACTGCAGGACTCGCCCCTTGCCTGTCCGTTGCCGGGTAGGCTTTTCTTGCCTTCCCCGGCCCCACTTGGGGCGCCCCT